CTGTGAATATAACACTTCCTGTCCCTGGGTGGCTGTTCTTACTCCTTTACTATATCTTTGTGGACCAGTCATAGTTGCCGCAAATGTCTGTATTTGTTCATCTCCATTACACGTGAGATGATAGATGGGGAAAACAACATTATTTTATGTTCCTAGGTCAGCTTATAGGAAGTGACCAGGATGCTGCATTTCTGGTAAGAGCAACAGGTATTTTCTGTACTTGCTGGAAATGTTCTTTGCATGAAAAAAGAAACCGTGTTCATCCACCTCATCTGAGGACTGGTAAGCTGCTATATATCACTTTTTTTCTTGGCTTTACCTATGCTTTAAAGGAGAACTATGGGGTCAGTGGTTTTCTCCATAGTTCTCCTTAAGGTAACGGGAGGACACAAACTAGCGTCCTCCCGTTACCCTTAGCTCAGTATACCGCGAGCTACAGCAATAAAATTGCAATAAACCGCTTAATCAACAATTACAAGACAAAAGAAGTCAATAAGGTAATGCAGAAGGGAAAAAAAGGAGAAACATGCAGACCCCCGTATTACAGACACATCAACTCAGAATGTAGATAATCAGAGGTTGATGGATATAATTCCTACAAAGGAAGAAGGTTAGAGCTTTACCATAAACAATGTGGTGAGGGAACACACATGGGGTAGGCCGAAGTAATAAATCAGGAGACTTCTGATATGGTATATGAGGAGGAGATCCATTGACCCCAAATTTTATCAGAGAGCAGGACAACCTCTATTCTCATACGTTAATTTGACCAAAAGAAGCATGGAATTATTTTGACACTTCCATATGTCGAGGGAGGGAGGGTGAGGAGATTTCCAGGTTAGAAGGATACTTTTTATTTTGCATAAAAAAAATATGTTCTTAAGAATTCCTTTTGATGGGAAGGAAGTGATATATCACCAAACTGTCCTAAAACACATACTACAAGACCCTCTGAGGGGAATTTATCAAAACAGGAGAAGACAGAAACTGGAGCAGTTGCCAATGGCAATCAATCAGCATCCACCTTTCATTTTCAAACTGAACAGACTGAAGAGAGAAGCTGATTGGTTGCCATAGGCAACTGCTCCAGATTCTTCTGCTCCAGTTTTGATAAATTCCCCCCTCTTTGTTTGAAAACAGGGCTTACTGCTTTGTTTCTGCGTCAAATTCTTCTCTACCCCACTTGCATATGGACATTATTATTATTTACTTGTTTTTGTCTAGGTTCAAAAATAAAAAAAGTTATACTCGCCAGATCCTTCGAGCTGGCTTACTCTTAGACCGGGCCCTTCTGCTTCGCACCTCTTCTATTGCAGTGGTCTAAGGTTCCGTGATTCATCATGTTCTATACACTGTGTATAGGACGCGGAGAGACTTTCCATTGCTGGAACAGAGGAGGAGACACTTAATCCTTGCAGTGTGGGGGTAGCCCCACTGCAAGGGTTAAGAACATTTTGCTTTAAATGTCATAATGTTCTTCCAGTTTGTTTAGATCTTTTCAACCAAAAGCCAGATTGACTACAGTAGTTGGCTCATAGTGAATATAAAAATTGTGACCCATAATCTGTATTTAGGTGATTGATGAGTGTGATGTTTCTATGCCCGTCTCTGCCTGGAGCATTAATTGAAGATACTTGTCACCAGATCTGGTTAATAACATTCAGACTAGAAAATGATGGTGTCTGTGAAACGCTCCCAGCCTCAAGGGTTATTCAATAAAGGAACACATGGACACTTATGAAGGTTAATGCCACATTTCATCTACAAAACAATTTTTATATTGAAGTTGAATCTAGTACTTAGCATGTTGTTCTGATGGGTACCTAAAAAAACCTAAAACTTTGTGTTTCCTTGCAAATGCTATGTCCTAATGCACAAACACTCATTGGCTTCACTACTTAAGAACTGGTTTGGAGAAAACGTTTGTAAACGCTAAGGACGTTCATGGATATATGTTTAAACTTTAGGGCTGCAACAACTAATTTATTAAATTGATTGTAATCGATCGATAATGAGGATCGTTGGCAAACATTCTCATCATCGATTAGTTGCTTTTCGATTAGTTGTTGCTGCTGCTCTGCTCCTCTGTTCTCCCTGCTGGTACTGGCTGCAGCGGCCTGTGTCCCTTTCAATCCCTGCTCCTCTCCCCGCCTGTTTCGCAAAGGCAGCGTGGATACAGACCACTGCAGCCGAAACCAGCGCTGAGGAAAGCCCGCTGTGACTCTGCAATCCCCCACTGGCACCCCCCCCTCCCCATACCTCAGCAGCTGCTCCGTGTCTCCTCTTCCCCCGGCCCGTTGTCTCCTCTTCCCCCGGCCCGTTGTCTCCTCTTCCCCCGGCCCGTTGTCTCCTCATTGTTCAATGAAGGTTAACCCAAAAAAATGTATGGGTGTGAATGGGACCAGTTCCCACTGCTGTGATGTGTTTAAGTTCTGTTGCAGTGCATTGAAAGAAAAAATAGAACATGCTCTACTTTTTTTTCAACTTAACACAACACGACAAAAGCGGATGTCAATGCAGGAACGGAAGTAAGAAAAAAAATGCATAGAAGTTAAAATAAAGAATGGCCAAAAAATGTAAAATTAAAAACAATCTTGCGATGGAGGAAAGAACTGAAACTGCCGGACCCCATGTCAGTCTATGTGGAATCTGATGTGTCCGTTTACATCAGTTTACCCTCGACCCAGCATGATCAGGTCTGGTGAAACGGAACTCTGATCCATTTGGTTCAGGGGTAACCAGGTGTAAATGGACGACCATCTATTTACACACTGCTGCCTATAGACTAACATTGGGCATCCAATCTGGTCCGCCTGAAAAACTGACAGTGGGACCTAATCGGACCACCCGTGTGAAAGAAGCCTTACAACTTGCTTCAGATTTATCAACAGTTATGTAATGTGATGATGGATCGCCCTGTGGCCTCCACTGCCTGCCCCCTTCCTTCTTTGCTGCCCGTTTCCTTCGCTGCTCCCCCATGTTCCCTCTTCTGCCGGCGGTATAAAGCCGGGGGCGTCTCCCATTAGCGGCTGGAAACAATAGCCAGCTATTGGATATTTTAAATAGCAATAGCAGGGTGGCTATTGCACCCGCCCACTGCCTGCTGTCAATCAGCAGAGGAGGACCTGAAGGAGAACTGAGAAATGATATACAGTCATGGCCAAAAATATTGGCACCCCTGCATTTCTGTCAGTAAATGCACCACTTTGCACAGAATAGTGTTGCAATTACAAATGTTTAGGCATTCTCATGTTTATTTCTTTTGTTTGTATTGGTATGACACAAAAAAGTGGAGAAAACCCCCCCCCCCCCAAATCTGACACATTCCACGCAAAACCAAAATAAAATTATTGGCACCATCAATTAATATTTGGTAGCACAGCCCTTGGAAAAAATAACTGAAATCAATCGCTTCCTGTAACCATAAATGAGCTTCTTACACCTCTCTACAGGAATTTTGGACCACTCTTTCACCTACTGCTCCAGTTCTCTCAGATTGGAAGGGTTCCTTTTCCCAACTGCTGTTTTGAGATCTCACCACAGGTGCTCTATGGGATTCAGATCTGGACTCATTGCTGGCCAGTCTAGTACTCTCCAGCACTTTGTCTGAAACCATTTCTGAGTGCTTTTTGACTTGTGCTTTGTGTCATTGTCCTGCTTTAAGACCCATGACCTCTGACGGAGACCCAACTTTCTGACACTGAGCCCTAACATTGCACCCCAGAATTCTTTGGTAGTCTTCAGATTTCATAATGCCATGCACACAGTCAAGACCTCCAATGCCTGAAGCAGCAAAGCAACCCCAAAACATCAGTGACCCTCCACCATGTTTGACTGTAGGGATGCAGGAATATTAAGATCTCTGGAGATGGACTTGTAACCTTGTGATTGTCCATGCTATTCCACAAAAACTTGGAATGCAATTATTTCTTGCAATTTGGACAAGGTGCCAATAATTTTATCCAGTCCATTTTTGGAGTTTTGCGTGGAATGTGTCAGATTTGGCCTTTTATATTTTTTTCTCCACAACTTTTACTGCAGGAGGTGCGTTGAGGTGCCATTCATTTCAGTGGCATCCCAAATGCACCTACTGTCTGCAGTGTGATGGCCCGCACTGAAACGCATGGTACCGCAATGCCCTGTGTTCCTGTACAGTGCGATTTCAAAAAATGTGCATACCGTTTTATTTGTCTGTAATGCTGCATTTGTATATATTTTTAAAATAAACTATGTTGGTTTTTTGTTTTATCGAAAAATTGCAGCCCTAGTATAGAACTCCCTCAGGAATGTCACCTCCTGCTTCTGTGATTGGTTGACTGATTTTCCCAGAAGTCTTCACTAAGATACAAGTATCATGTTTGGCATCCCTTGCAATAGGAGTTTCCTTTTTGGTGAGATACTCTCGAAGGGTTAATTGTTGCTAAGGGGATGCAGGCACTGCACCTTTCCCTATTACAACACAGGAAGTCCACCAGATGATTATAATGAACACAGACTCTCCCATTCAGGGATCAGTTTGGAAAGGACATGCTGCAGCAAACAGCGTTTTCTTCAGAACACAAACGGGTAGGAAACAGACACAACAGAGTGTGTTTAAAATCCTTGTAATGTACACAGATCACCCAGAGAGGATTGATTTTTTTTCTTAACAAAAGCGGAATTACTCTTTAATGCTCAGTAATGTTACACCGTATAGGCTTTCATGCCTTTGATGCACCAATTTATTTTCTCTTGAATAAAACCAGAATTTAAAAACAAATTACAACATGAACGAAAAGAGCTCACCCTCCGGTACCTGCATATACATTTCAAACTCTTCCTGAGCACCCCAGGAGACCCCAACCAGGGTTTTTATAGAGTCCTTTACATAATTATTTCTTAGGAAATGTTTACATTAGGTTGGTGAATGAAAATATTTGAATAGATGTATATAATATGACTTGAATCTAATGAACAGGGTTTTGGTTTCAGGTGTATAATTGTAACATAATCTCTTTCAGTACTTTGGAAGGTTTTTATGTTGACGATGCGTTGCAAGGACAAGGAGTATATACATATGAGGATGGAGGTGTCCTACATGGCACATACGTGGACGGGGAGCTGAATGGACCAGCACAGGAGTTTGATACGGATGGAAGGTTGATATTCAAAGGTCAATATAAAGACAACATCCGACATGGCATCTGCTGGATTTACTACCCAGTAAGATTATATATACATATCACTTTTCAACATCTACTTCATAAGAAACACAAACACGTTTAATATGTTGCCACCTGCTAAATAAGACAATAAGACCTATTTAGTAAAGGGTTTCGGTTCTAGAAGTTCAGGTACCTAAACACAGACCCAATTTGACTACGGTTAAAAAAAAAGTTCCAGAGTAACGCTATGGCATACCGACCAAGTATCAAATCTACTTCAAAACATAGTGTATCTAAAACCAAAGGTGTTTTTTTTTCTACTTTTGGATAGAATGTCTGTTTTTATTACTGTCTGTGTCTCTGTTAACCCCTTCGTGACGGGAGACGTACAGTGTACGTCTTGTATTCTTGGTGACCGTTATAATTTGAACCGAATATTAGGGAAAATCCCAAATAGAACAGGAATAGAGGGGAAATCTTTTAATGGTAACACTTGTTTTGGAGACAGCTGTCTAACGCAGGCTTGCCTTCACATTTTCAAGATTTCCTCTCACTTCCTGTTTTGTGTACAGGACAGGAAATTAAAGGAAATCATCCCAATAGGACACACATTGAAAAAAACTGAATTAGGTTTAAACTATTTCCTTCTCTATCCAAAATTAAAAGAAAGTAATGGCTTTGGATATACTTAAACATTGGGACAGCAATTGGACAAGCCATAGAATTTCAAAGGGTTAGTGCTGTTCTTTATTGATGATGTTGCAAGGCTTGTTTGTACATTACTGCCTATGGAGAGTTGGAATAACACGCATCAGGCAATCTGGCAGGCCCATTTGTGCACGCTCCTGATCATTTTTAAAGTTAACTCTTGGCCAGCAAGTCTTACCATCAAAAGATCCTTCATGTACCTGACATGAGTCAATGCAAGTCATTGCAAAAGATACATTGATGATTTTTTTCTGGACTACTTTGACAAAAGCAGGTGTTGGTTGTTTTCCCTTACAGGATGGAGGCGGCCTTGTGGGAGAGGTGAATGAAGATGGGGAAATGACAGGGAATAAGATAGCCTATGTCTATCCTGATGGAAGAACAGCACTGCATGGGAAATTCATTGATGGAGAAATGCTGGAAGGAAAGCTGGCCTTCCTCACGTCTGTTAAAGAAGGATGGCCACACTTTGAAATTATCCCTGACAGTAAGTGTTTCTTTACATAATGTTTTCTATGCAAATATTACATGAAACTTTATTATGTTCATCATGTTCACTACAAAAAACTAAAACACACACACATTTTTTTTATTCCTCAAAGGCCCTTGGTGGTCTTGCGGTTCCAAATATATTTTTATACAAACTATTATTATGTGGCGGCTACTATTGCTCCTCTTTCCGTTCTCCATGCATCTTTGGACTTGCCGCTGTGGGCCTCATTGGATTTGATTGAATGTTACCTGCTCCCTTTGGCTTCCGTTCCCTGGCTCCCTCCTGAATTATGTCCTCTTAATCTTAACCCTGTCTTTCGATACCTGTTCTAGATCTGGTACACAGTTAAATTCTCTGGTGGTTTAGCTTCTCCTTATCTCCCTCTCTTGAAATGTTTACATTCTCCTTTCTTTCCTCCTGGTAGAGACAACCCCACTGCTTTCACCTGGTGGTCCTCCCACAATTATCAAGACATTTACTCTGTTTTCCCCATCTGGTATCAGGAGTTTTTAATACTTTGATGTAATACATAATATCTCCCTGCGTGAACATTATAGGTATTTGCAACTCAGTTACTTTCTTGCTTCTTTTCTTGGGTCTCACTTTTCCCCTTATATGGTCACTTCTTTTGAACGTAGGTGTCGGTCTGGTCCTTTTGCTCAAGGTACAATTTCTCTAATTTATCAGTCCTTAGCTTCTTCTAAGACACCCACTACACGATCATATCAGCAACATTGGGAGTGAATTCTTGGTGTTCCCATTTCAGTAGAGGACTGGCAGGAAATTTGGGAAGGGACTGCGAAATCTTCTAGAAATGTTTTAATCTTAGATACATTCTTATAAGGTACTCTATAGATGGCATTATACTCCCACACATCTTGCAAGTTTTGTGCCCAATTACTCTAAGTGCTTTCAGGGCTGTTTCCAACCGGGGACAATGATGGTCCTGTCCTATAGTTTCTGGGCTTGGGTGTACCATCTTGCCCATACATTGTTGCATACAAATCTCCACAAAAATTCACTGGAAGCTCCCCTCAGGCCCATTTTAGGTTTGTCCTTCTCTGAGTGAATGTTAGTTCAACATTTATTCCCAGCTACCAGACTTGCTATTGCTAGGGCCTGGAGGTCTCCGACGCTGAGCTTTGAAGTGGTTAAAAATAGGATTTCAGGAATTATGATCAATGAGAAACCTACTGCTATTTTGGCTGACAACCATGCTAGATTTCTCAAGATTTGGAGACCATAGATGTCTTATGAACATTCACCTAGATTTCACCCTAATTTGCTAACTTTATCATTTTTTCATATCTTGACCCCCCTCCCTCCAGGGCCTTCTCTGTCTCTTCTCTTTCTTTCATCTTCCTTTCCTCCTGCTTTTATTTCTCAATCCTCTTTTGCCCCCGCTCTTTTTTCTCTTATTTTCTCTCTTTCTATTTCTGCCTTCCCCTCTGCTGTTGTTACTACAAGCATACAGTTTATAGCTTAGGGTTTTTTTTACCTCTTTGTCCAATGGCACTATTTGGTTGCTTGTTTTATATGCATTCTACTATTGCACTTGGATTTTTACATGCATTCTACTATTGCACTTGGGAATTATGATTGTAATTGTATGTTCCTGTTTGTTAATATTGATCTGTTCTATTTGATTATCTTTTATTGTGCTTTACCACACTGTAGCGTTGTTCCATGTTGGCAATAACATTCTTTGTAAAAGAAAATATATATTTTACACATTTTTGTCAGGTCATTTCATATTATTTCACCCTTTGCAGCCACCAGGTGGAGCCTCTAGGTTTTCTTTTTACAATTTCAGCAGAGTGACTTTACTGCTTTGCTGAGCAAAACATTCATTGTTTATGGAGCTGAATAATGGTAGAGAAAACTCCCAGTTCCTTTACTTTATTCAAATGGACCTTTTATGGAATGTCATCTAGGCAGAGAAAGAAAAGGGGTAGCTCGTTCTGGGCTTCATCTGTAGAAAACTCAGAATACTCTGCAAAAACTGATAGGCCTTGTCCACACAGGCTTCTGCTTGTATAAGAGCAGTGTGTGTGCAGCAAGCTTTTACAAAGCATTTACAGTGCTTCGGCAGGCTTTGCTGAAGTTTGTAAAGTACTACTAAGCTCCAGTTTGTGAATGTTAAACACAAATGTTAATGGTAATGCTAACTATCACATTTACCAAGCACCAGCTTGGTAAAGCACAAGCTTTAGCACTACTTTAACCTTGTTAAAAGCCTGCTAGAAGCTTGTTCATCTGGTAATTCTGGCAATAGGCGGCCAGAATTGAAGCCGCAAATTTTTGCTGAATTGGCCGGAATTTGAGCCATGGCTGGCCCTACCTGGGTTGACAAAAGCCCATTTAAAAAGTGACTGACTACTGGAAAATCCTATTGCACTAAAGAAAATCGAGCCGTGTATGGCTAGCGTTATACCCCTGGAATAACCACTTGTTTCTAAGCAAATTACCTTCCTTTATAGGAAGTCTGTTGAAAGACCAGAGGTAACATAAACAGACCTCATCCTATGCACAAGCACTGTAAATGTCCTGGACCCATAGCCTGTAGGATCAAATCATTATACGTTCTGACGAAGCCCTGTTGTGGGAGGGGCAAAACCTGTCAACTCAAAAGCACATACCTGCTCTCCTGTGGCTCAATTACTACAAGCGATGATCATCTGACCAAATCTCTGGCGGAAACTTCACGAGACTTGAATGCAACATGAATCTTGCTGGATAAGTGTAACAATGTGAAACTGGTCCTGCAGTAACATGATGCCATACAACTGATTACAACCAACTATTACTGTGAGTAAAATAATTCCCATTCCGGCCGACGGGTAAGAGCTCTTTTCAAAAATTTGTTGATAGCCTTATATTTTGTGAACCTGCCGGGTTCAGCACAATCAAGGAGAGTGTCCTCAAATCTGGATTGATCTGCATCCATTTGAAGCCAGGAAATGTGCATTATTTGAACCTCAGCGCAGGTCACAGAGGGGTTAACAATAGACGATTTACCTGACAGCCTCCTTGCACTTGTAGTCACTAATGGAGATAGTAATGTGAATCAGCCATATGGCCTGAGCAGTGTAATCTGATATTACGGGACTGTGTTACATCTTGTGGTGAAACAACTACATTTTTTAACTTTGATTTTGGATACATCAACATACTAACGTTTGTAACAAGTTATATCCTAAGAATAATATCAGCATTTTATACCAGCAAATGGCCATATTTCATTAAAGGAGAACTATGGGGTCCGTGCTTTTCCCCATAGTTCTCCCCAGGGTCACGGGAGGACACAAACTAGCGTCCTCCTGTGACCCCCAAAGCTCCGTATACCGCCAGCTACAGCTCACGGTATACTGAGACCGCCGCAGAAGGAACAGATCCCGACATTACTGTCTGGATCCACCCAGCTGCGTGGTTGACAGTCACGGCTCTCTGCAGGGACAGGATCGAGAAGTGAGCGAGCGCCGGTATGTGTTCACTTCCCGATCTATTGAGCCGACCTGTGACAATTTCATTGGCGCACGTCGGCTCGAACTATGAGGCTATTTTCACTCACCTCATAGTTCTCCTTTAATGGGAACGCCTGACCATTTCAATTTTGGACTGTTTTTTTTTTTTCTTCAGTTTTTTCTTTTCAGCTTTTTTCCAGCAAGGAGCAATAAACTCTAGTTCAAACGTGAACATACCATGGGTTTAGATAGAAGTACTTAATGTACAGAACCAATAAGGAGAGGTTAGGAAGTGCTGTGTGAATGTGTGTCAGTATGAAGACAACGTTGTCGTATTTTTATTATGGGGGTTTTGATGCGGTGAAGGGTTTTTTACGCAAACAATTTTTGTATTTGTTAATAAAATTTACATTTTGAATTAATTTAGAGGTTGGTCTTTCAAGTGACTTCTGCATTGGTCGTGGTTTTTTACATGACCACACTTTTGCTTTGTCAAATAATTATACAACTGCTTTTGATGCAGAATTTACTAAATGTTATCATCATTCTCACAATTAGTTTTTTCTTCTTCAAGGTAAAGTTTATTCTTTTGATAAATCAACTTCATAGTGTATTTCTAATACTTGCATGGAATATTGCAATTGGCTTAGCAACTCTGGGGCTATTTAAAGAAGAACTTTGGGCATAAATGTTATTACCCTTGCAGTGGGGTGAAACTACAATCGCAATACAAATTAGTAAACTAAACATGAGATTGTAGGACAAAACGTGTCAGCTGAAGATTCAGAAATAAAGGTATCTTGCTGCTCTCCTTACCGGATTTATGCAAATGGGTGCTTGCAGTGACCACGGTGGCACCGTGAAATACTGAAGATATAAAGGATGTCACCAGCACACTAAGCTGTTGTGTTCAACAGATGTTCATTTTAATGACAACCAATGTCATTCAATAGCAAGTACTTTCGGGGCCTCGCAGGGTCCCTGTCATCAGGCTCAGAATGACACAATGTGTAACCAAGATCCACATAAATAGACATACAACCAGTGAAAAAAACATATCAGATCTCACCCCTATAGAATGACTAGACACAATTCTCCCGCCATACCAGATTGAAAGTTTGCAGAGAAAACAAACTTGCATAATGCTGCCATATGGAAGACTGCCACGCTCCACACTGCTGTCATGGCCGTTAGCACTCTCGTTTGCTGGGGTTACCCGACGCTGAGGAGGAAGTAGGACACGCCCCCGGTCCACCAGCGCAACGCCGCTTGGAACGCACGGGCGTCCATGTCTGTGTCTCAGTTTTTCTTGGTGGAGCCATATCGCTCACTCACACAGGCGAACAGGGGGACCATGGCATCGCTCAGATGCCGGTGATGTGTCGAAAGTGCGAACTTATCGAGTTGTGGGACCGCATTACTTCCGGTTTCCTCAGAACTACAAGGTTTTTACACAAAACATGTTGTGCACGAGCGCCATCCACGGCATTGCCCTATAGACATAGACCACAGCAATAAAGTAATAAAATGATGTATCGAGTCTGACATATAAGAAATATAATGCATTGACAAAGATACAATAAATAAAATCAACCTTGATGTTTCATACTGAATATATTACTGAAAAGATACTGGACCCAATCACAGGCACGCTCGGATAGTAAATATTGAAAATAAATGACAATCATATTGCCCAATTAATTAGTGATTTACTTTATGTCAAAGGGATAGGAGTAAACAAAATTGCTGCAAGGGGGGTAACTATTGAATGACATTGGTTGTCATTAAAATGAACATTTGTTGAATACAGCTTGGTGTGCTGGTGAAAACCTTTATAGCTGTAGATTCAGGGTGCACTTTTGTCATGCAGAGTCAGACCCATAGAGATAGCAGGAGCTGAACCCCAGGTATCTAAAATCTTTTAGAATGGACACAGAATATTGCAATTCTGTGGAATGATAACATCATTCCTCTTGTTAGTATATGTGA